GGGTTTTTTCTTTTTGCATATGAAGTTGAGAATCGTCCTTCCAAGATCTGTAAAGAATTGTGTTGTGATTTAGATAGAGATTGTTTTGAATCTGTAGATTGCTTTTGGTCAAATGGCCATTTTTAGTATGTTAATCCACTGATCCATGAGCACGGGAGATCTTTCCACCTTCTTAACTTTCGCTCTTCAAAGACTTGATGTTTTTATCAGACAGATCTTTCACTTGGGTTGGTTAGAGTTACTCCACGGTATTTTGTATTATTTGAGGCTATTGTAAAAGGTGTTTTCCTGATTTCTTTCTCAGTCCATTTGTCATTTGTATATAGGAGGGCTACTGATTGTTTTAATTTGTGTGTGTGTGTGTGTCCATCCACTTTGCTGCAAGTGTTTATCAGCTATAGGAGTTCCCTGGCGAAATATTTATGGTCACTTAGGTATACTATCATATCATCTGCAAATAAAGATACATTGACTTCCTTTTCAATTGTATCTTCTTGATCTCCTTCAGTTGTCTTACTGCTCTAGCTAAGACTGTAAGTACTATATTGAATAGATATGGAGAGAGTGAATAACGTGGTCTTGTCTCTGATTATAATGAAACTGTGAGCAGATATTTGTGATTAAAACTTTTGGGAGACACACAGGTGGCTCAGCAGGTAAAAACACCTGTCACCAGGCCTGAAGATCTGGGTTCAATCCCAGGACATACAGATTGTACACATTTGTACACAAATAGTTTTGTTTTCCAGTTTGTGTTTTACTGCACTGAATACATATGGATCAGAACTGATAATTTTAAGGTGTCAGATTAAATGAATTTATTGAAATCTAATCTTGTTCTGTTAATAGATACATAGATATAATAAGCAAAAATTTCATCTTTTTAAAAGCAGCCATTTATCAAAACAGTAACATCCTCATCCTGATAAGCATGTGAGGACCCACGTAAGGAGAGATGGCCAAAGTTTGCTTCATAGTATGCTAAATTTGTCATATTATGATAATTTCATGTAAATAACAAATCCTTTGGGGGCTCAGGGAAAACCCTGGGCTTTTAAAGCTAGGAAGTAGCCCAATCATACGAGCCTGGGGCTTTGAGCATTACCGTGCGTTTTTGTGTTCTCTCTGGTCCTCAGGAATGGGGACAGGGAAGGACGTGTGAACTGGGTCATCAGTTGCCAGGCAGGACTGCTCTCCTGAGGGAGCACAGTATGTGGAGCGAAGATTGAGTTCACAGTGCGCTTGTCCAGCCCCAGGTAGGGGGCACCCTGCACAATGGAAGGCTTGTACTCGGGGAAAATATGACAATGTGTCATCCTCTCCTTGGCTGTCAATTCTGTTCATGCTTTCAGCAAACCCCTGTGTTTAAATTCTAGGAGAGAGCAGCCTACTCAGAAGTAGGCTGTATTTCCTTGCTGGCGAAGTGTTGAATAAGGATGTAAGTGCTCAACATTCATTTTAACCATTTTGGAAATAATGGTCTTTATTTTTTTATTATTATTATTTTATGTTGAAATTTGTGAGGATAACAGTTACCCTGTCATTTTAAAGTATAAAAATGGGTGCTGGGGAAAATGGCTCTATGGGTATGATTATTCCTATGCAAGTATGAGAAGTGTGTTTTGAACCCTCAGATGTAGCCTTTGTAGTAGAGTTCTGAGTATGCATAATGTCCCAGTCTAATCCCCAGCACTGTGGGAAAAATGGGGAGCAGATGAGTCACCCCCTCAAACTACAGTCATCTGTTAGGTTTCAAAAGTGTGGTAAGCTTATTGCATGCACTTGTTTCTGCGGATGTCCTATACTGCAAGCCGGTCCAGCTTCCAGAGGGTGTGGGGATAGCAGACTGTGTCGGTGGCCCAGATTCTAAATGACTCTATCCCAAAGAGGCAGACCTGAGGAACCCTTTCACCTGCACTGGCCTTCCCTCCCTCTCCTATGTAGGTACCAGAAGGATCACAAGAAGGGGTAGCCGGGGTGGTGCGTGCCTATGGTCACGGCTGCTCTGGAGACTATGGCAGAGAACCACTTGAGACCAGGAATTTGAAGTTAACCTGGGCTACCGAAAGATCGGGCCTCAGTGAAGACAGAAAAAGAGAACGCCCTGAACAGTAAAAGCTGCCATTGTTCTTATCCGTTATGTGGCAAATGTAATTTCTTAGAACACTGTATTGGCTAATTTTATGTCAACTTGACACAGGCTAGGGTCATAAGAGAAGAGGGAGCCTCAATTAAGAAAATGGCTCCATAACATCTGGCTGTAGGGCATGTTCTCAATTAATGGGAGGGCCCAGCCCACTGTGGGTGGTGCCATCCTTGGGCTGGTGGTCCTGGGTGTTAAAAGAAAGCAGGCTGAGCAAGTGGGGGTGGGTGGGTGGGTGGTGGTGGTGGTGGACTTATTTTCTGGAGTGTTTTATTATGGCAATATCAAGCTGGATGTTGCCTGCCTCTAGGGAAGTGGCAACTAATGATAAGCAACTTCAAAATGACAGCCAGTAATGAGTGAATGAAACCTTCTCCATCTCCAAGTACTGTAAGACACAGTGGGAATTTCGGTCAATTTAGAACTGAGGACTATCAAATCTTAGGAACTGTTTCACCATCTGAAGCAGCCACAGGAAATGAGAGCACCTTTATCTGATTGATACTTAAAATGCTGTCTTGAATGTAACGTGACATATAAGTATTATATTGAGTGTACCCAAGAACCATTGGCTCTTGGGACACAATCCAGATGTCTCTTTACTCTCCTCTTAGCACTCCTAGATGATAGTTTGTGGCTCCCTGAAACATGAGAGAAAAAGTTTGCTGCTTAAAAAGTTCTGTCAAAGCTGTGTGAGGTGTTGCACACTTGTAATCCCATTACTCAGGGGGACAGAGGCAGGCAGATCGCAGTGAGTTCAAGGTCAGCCTGGTCTACAAAGTGAGTTCAGGATAGTGAAGGCTACACAGAGAAACCCTGTCTTGAAAAACCAAAAACCAAAAAAAAAAAAGTTCTGTCAATCTTATTTGTCACCAGTGAATGCAGATGGTGCCGTACAGACTGCTTGGCACAAAAAGGAAAATTTATTTTTACTGTTTTTAGTTTCATGTGCCATTTTTTTTTCATATTTGTGTTTGTTTTGATTATTAGGCCTGTTTATTTCCAGACACTAAGCAGTATGCTTCCCGTTTTATCCAAAGTGACTTGATGTTTGGAATGCTTCCAAAACTGAAAAAGATTTTCATTTAAAATGAGTTATTCCCAGAACACAGCACAGGAAGTGGATAACCTCTTCAACCAGTGTCTTAGATGAATATGGAATAGTAGCATGTGTTTGAGAACTTTGTATTTATCTCACTGTTACTTCTTGAGGAACACAGCTTGCACTTACTATAAAATGAAGCAGTGTATCCAGACATACAGTGCTCTTTACAGTAACCTCAGAGAAGCAAAGAGTGAGATCTTCAGTTTGTGTGTGTATGTGTGCTGGTTTAGTAGATTCAGAGTGACATCTGTGGTGCAGACCGTGGCAGTGACCAGAAAGACAGCACGAAGGCAACACTGCATGAGGCATTTGTGGAAAATGCACGGGGGTCCTGTGACAGGAATGTGGAAGGAGGCTATTGGGGAATCAGATTATTTTCAGGTTGGGGGAGGAGGATCAACAAAAAACTGCAGAAATCTATGAAATACTATAATGAAACCTGTAAGTCTGCATGCTAATTAAAAACAAATTTACTCATTTGTTTGGAGACAGTGTCTCACTGTGTATCCTCAATTGTCCTTCAACATCCATGTAGACCAGGCCGCCCTGGAATTCACAGAGATTCATCTGCCTCTGCCCCTCAACTGCTGGGATTAAAAGTGTGTGCTACCAGGCTCAGTCAACAAAATTTTAACAAGGAAAATGTAGGAGGAAAGAAACGCATTTCAAGTTCAATAATTTGATTTTTTTTTTCCTTTGGTGCTTTTCATATCAGAGTAAGGGGTTGCTATCCGCTTTCTTTTTGAAAATCTTCTCTGCTTTTCAATTGTACCTTTTCATCTTTTGTTTAAAAGCAAAAACAGATTTAAAACTATGTCCTTGATTTGGAATGCATTGCGGCTTAGTTTGAGCACTTCTCCAGAATGTAAAATGGGCTGAATCCTGTGTGTTAGCTCTGCCTTCTGCAAAAGTGACTTTTATTCAGCCTGTCTCATAAATACAATACCACCCTTGTTTTTATTCAGTCTTCCAGTACACTTTATTGTATTACTCTGATAACAGATTCACATTCTCTATTTGTCTCCTTTCTCTGTCTCTCTGTCTCTTTCTGTGTCTCTCTCTTTCACACACACACACACACACACGAGTTTGTAATCTCTGTGATGAACGTAGATGCAGAAATTTCCAGTAAAATACTGGCAAACTGAATTCAAGATCATACCAAAAAGATCATTCACTCTGATCAAGCTGATTGCACCACAGAGATTTAGGGATGGCTCAAAATGCAAGAACCCCAGTAAGTGTAAATCATCACATAAATGGACTCAAAGACAGAAACCATAGGCTCACCCCAATAGACACACAAAAGAGCATTTGCTTGTCAGAGTTAACTGGAAGATTAAAAATTATGAAGTCGAGCTGTAGAGATGGCTGAGCAGGTGAAAGTACTGGTCATGCAAGTCTGGTGACCCGAGTTTGATCCTGGGACCTGTGATAAAAGCAAACAGGGTCTGGGAGGTTGTCCTGTGACTGCCTCAGGAACACACACATCCTAAGCACACGCAACAATGACGGGTTAAAATAAAAGCCAGGAAGTCACTATGTTGCCGTCAGTCTTTTATGTCTCCGAGTTGCTAAATCTGTCTGGTTCATGGGCATATAAAGCCCCTGGATCCCGATCCCCTAATCAATTGCAGCCTGCTTCCGTGTGCATTTCCCAACGTAAACGTGGTTTAGACGCTTTCGTGTGGCGGTGATTATAAAAACAATTAACCTCACACGTCCTTGTGCTTTCATTCCTTCCTCCTGCAGTTGAAAAAGGCAGGCAGAAGAACCCCAGAAGCCTGTGCATCCAGACCCAGACAGCTCCAGATGTGCTGTCCTCCGAGAGAACCCTTGAGTTGGCCCAATACAAGACCAAATGTGAAAACCAAAGTGGCTTTATCCTGCACCTCAAGCAGCTTCTTTCCTGTGGTAATACCAGGTTTGAAGCACTAACGGTTGTGATCCAGCACCTCCTGTCGGAGGTAAGGAGGCTGGTGGGGGAGGAGGATGCGCGAACTTGTCCTACAAATATGTTTACTTTACGTTAATGTTTAGAAGATCTGCCAACCCTCCCCTCTTTCTCTTGACCCCACCATCCGTGTGTGTGTGTGTGTGTGTGTGTGTGTGTGTGTGTGCTTGCATGCACACCTGTGTTTACAGTATATACACGAAGGTAAGAAACTAGAGAACGGCCTCATTATTTATTCCCCAGCGGCCATCTGCCTTCATTTTAAGACAGGGTTTCTCCCTGGCTTGAGGCTACCAAGCAAGCCCCAGGGACCTGCCTGTCTCTACTTCCCCAGTACTCTAGTATGTGGGACCATGTCTGGCTTTTTAAAAATGAGAGTCCTGGAAATTAAACTCAGGACTTTGTGCTTGTAAGGCTAGCGCTTTACCGACTGAGCCATCTCCACACCCCAAACTTTCCTTTTATCACTCACCCCATGTCTTTCTCTAGAATTTGGGATTGTAATGATTTCCTGTTACCTTCCCTCTCTCCTTCCTTTCTCCTGTGTGGTGCATAGCCCGTGCACATGCGGGTACCGTGCATGCAGACTCTAGAGCAGGATGCTGGTCCTCTGTTGCTCTCCACCTTGCTCTTAAAGATCTCGGGAAGTTTTAGCCAGGCTGGCTGGTGGGCTAGTGATCTTCCAGGATCCACTTGTCTCCATCTCCCCAGGCTGAAGTTACAGGCCTACACTACAATGCCTGGGGGTTTATGTGGGTATTGCGGATTTGAACTCAGGTCCTCTTGCTTTCACAGCAAGCACCCCTAACTTCTGAGCCACCTTCTGAGCCTGAACATATTTCTTTAGTCCTCACTTTTCCCTCCCAAGGATGACAATAGCAAAAAGATAATTGCCTGTGGTATTTTATAAAACTCCAGACTTACAATAGCATATGCAGCTTTGGGAAATGAGGTTGCTCTTCCTACCAAGGTCACCCTGTTCAGACCTGGCTGAATGCTGGGTTCTGATGGCGCCTTTCTGCTCTTGCCTTCTCTCTGCAGTCCATCCCAAGGTCTGTCAGCTAACAGCTGCATCTCCGCAGAGCGTCCATCCTGCTGGTTAAATCCTCAGGTGGTTCTCCACTGTCCACACATGATCTGAAATGGTAGCTAAGACTCTAAGAAGGAAAATGAGCATCTACAGAATAATCAGTATGAATTGAGCAATAGGTGCCTAAGTTTTTAAACACACACGGTATATTAAAAAGATTTAGAAGAAAAAGTTATGAATATATTACTACTGTTTTATATTGGTGTTGTAGATATTTGAGCTGAGTAAAAAAAACAATTATAATTTTAAAAATATGCCTACTAGGAAATTATTAAATTATGGGTGTATGTTAGGTATGATTCTGATTTACTAGCTTGGACTATAGGATTTTATAATAATTTGACACAGGTGTCCTTTTAAACGTAGCCCTCACTGCCACATGAAGAAAAGCAGGAGGGAGTTAGTATTTGTTAACAATACCTGGCACTTACTAAGCACTTATTTAGCTTCTTAAGTGCTCACCCAAATGCTAATGAATAGGAATTTACAAATAAAATCGAGGCAGAGTCGGTGCCTCCAGAGAGCAAGCAGCAGTGTTGGTCCTGACGGACAGTTGGATCCCTGTATGTTCAGCCTTTCGTAAGCGTCAGTTCGTCCGGACCTGCACCCAGCGCACACAGACTGGTTTTACAGACAGTGAAGGCCTAGTTGAGTAAAGTAGGCAGTCCTGCCTTCACCGCTCCTCTGTGGGCAAAGATCCAGAATTGTACTTGAGAAGGAAGCCGGACTCTCCCACTCAACTGTTTTAGTCTAAGAGCCCCTTCTGGCAGGAGCATCCCACAGAATATGCAAATGTGGTGTTAATAAGATACTTTCTGGCCCCTAAATATGATCTGTATAGTTCATTAGGTGCTCACTTGAGGAGACAATGGATGCAGCACTCATTAAAATGGCCCTGGGCTTGGTATATTGAGTGATATACTCTTAATGAGTTTCAAAAACTTTTCTTAAGTTCTTGTATGTGTTCATGGTTAGTTGGCTTCCCTGTTGTTGGGTGAGGTAGAACATCATGGCAAGAAGCAAGGGATGGAGCAAATGGCTCATGCCATGGTGGACGAGGGGAAGAGAAAGATACAGGAAGAGACCAGCCACAAAATGTAGCCTTTACATAAAGCCCCACTTTCAGTAACTTTCTCCAGTCAAGTTCTACCCTCCAAGAGCCTGTTCAGCACTGACCTCATCAGTGAACTGACCCACTGATGTCTGGATCATGATGTTTGGATCAGTACCAGCATGTTGGGGTGTCAAGCGTTTAGTCCTTGAGTGTTGTAGGGTGATAATTCTGTCCAAGCCACAGCAGTATGCCTCTGTAATAGTGATGCTAAATGAGTAAAGCTCAGGAGCCCCCTTCTTAAGGAGATCCCTGGGCCTTCCAGCCCTACCTTTTACCCACCCTCTGGACTGCAGGACCTTAAACTTCTCCTTTGTTTTCTGTAGGATAGCTCCTCACTTTGTGCTTTGTGCTTGGTTTTCCTTTTTTTTTTAAGTAAGTTTTGTGTGTGATACACTCACACTGTGTAGTCATTATGTGCAGTGCTCACAGAGGCCAGAAGAGGGTGTACAATCCCCAGGTACTGGAGTTAGGCACTTGTAAGCTGTGCTGGGAATTGAACCCTGATCCTCTGGAAACGTAGCCAGTGCTCTTAACCAATGAGTCATTTCTCCAGCCCTTGTTCTTGCTTTTAAAGATAAAAGTTCATTGAGAGCAGAGTGTGCCTCTAGTTTTCTTTCTTGTAAATCCACCTCAAGAATTACAGTAGACAGAGCATACCTGAGCGGACAAGTGAAGGGAGGGCGTGGAACCCCAGGCACTTCTTTTAAAATGCACACAAAATCCCCATATAAATGTTCTTTACTCCTTTGTTTTATAAATGATCAGTGAGGTTGCCTAAGGTGCACATGGCACTGTTATGAAACAGCTGAAAGGGAAAGAAGGGGAAAGTTAAGCAATTAAAACTCTGTTAACCCTTGAATTCGTTTGAACCCACCATTGAAACATTTGGGCACCATTAACCTTCGTTGGTGTGAGTAACCCTAGAGTCTTTATTGTAGGTTCCCTAGGCAGATTTCTTTAGTAAGGTGAAACAAGATCAAATAGGTTTTTTTTTTTCATGCAAATAGAGTCTAACCTAGACTAGCATCATTTTAAAAAAAAGTGTACTTGACGTCTCAGATTTAAAGAAGAGAAGAAAAAGGTGTCCGCAGTGAGGGAAGCGGTGTGTGGATGATGCGGAGGAAACCAGACAGAGTCAGGTCCAGACTGTCTGAGGCAGCTTTTTCCTGTAAAATTTCCTGCGCCGCTGATGCCACTCGGTAGCCAGCAGAGCTCACGCACACCAGTGGATGAGAGCCAGCCGCTAAGTGCTTGCATCCCGGGGACCTTAATTAAATTATGGAGAATCCCGTTTTTTCTTTCTTTTTTTTTTCCTTAGAGCACTTCATGCATTTAATGCACGAGCCTGAAAGCGTCTGTGTGCACATCCCTACCCTTCTCTCCAGTCGCACTGTGCATTGGGGGGAAGGGTGTGCGCATTATAGTACAAAGATAATCAAATAGACCTCTTCTCTGGATTATAAATGGTTTATAATCTATGACAGAGACACTAACCTACGCGGCTGGAAAAAAAATAAAAAAGTCTTGTCTCTAACTGACAGAATGTATTTTATCATCTGGGAGGAAATAATAAGTACATTTAAAGGGCAAGCAACCCAGACAGTCATGCAGAAATAACAATATGTCTGTTATAGTATGGGCTCTATGGTTTGCATTTTGAATAGATCATATTATAGCCCTGGGTTTCCCATCATCCTGTGCTGCTTCCCCTCAGATGATGTCATCTGCTTTGATTGATGACCAAAGAATTGGACCTGGACATTTCCTCCTAAGTTCCAGGCTCCTTGAAGGCAGGAGCTATGTCTTAATTTTCTTACATATTAATGGTATATGATATGAAATGCACTTAGTTAGTACTGAGTAATAACTCATCATTTGGAAAGATAAATGTCCCTCCTGGGCATTTTGGGGCGGGGATGTTGTCTCCGACATTTAGCTTTTCAGAAAGTGTATGAAATGAGTCAGGTTAAGAAAGCCAGGCATCTGAAGAGGGTAGCATCTTGACTAAAAGATCTTAGGATGCTGAACAAGAGCTGGACAATTCTAGTCCAAGCGTGCGCACACACGCACGACTGCCACACACATAATGTATGTTGTGGTTGCTGGCGGGAGAACTCGGCTTCATGTACGGGTGCCATCCCCGAGCTACCTCTCGTCCAATGTCCTGTCTGTAATATGCTCAGCAAGAGGCCTCTTTGAGAAGAGAACCTTTTCCCATAAAGACCATGGAATAATCATAGCCCTCTAGGGTGCACAGAAATCCCTTCTAGGGTTCAGTACTGGGCTCTGCAGAACCAGGACTAGAGCAGAGGCGACACTAAGGGTAAAATCCAGAGGGTTAGAGACTCAATGTGAAGGAAGCATGGACTGGCTCTCTCCCAACCCACTTTGAGCCGCTGAGACAGAGTGACAACTGACCTTGATGTCTGCTTGCTCTGTGGAACTGGGAGGAGTCTGAGGGTGGTTAAGGGAAGTGGAGTTAGGAGAGGCGTCCACACTCGCACTGAAACCTGTTGCCTCGTGAACACCCTTAATAAGCTGACCACCCCTTGTGTGTTTATGGAGGTTATGTGTGGCTTCCCCAAAGCTCTTTGAAGATAAACACCGGAAGCATTAGCTTTTGCTTGCCTCTCACCCACTTGTGTTGTCAACTTGGCTGCTGTGGAAAAAGGGACTCTGAAGCAAGTTCACAGTTTCTGGTTTACTGTGCATGCCTAACAGAGCCGTCCTCTGCTTTGTCTTCACTCCAGTAACAAAACCCGCCATTTATCCAAGGGTGGGAATAAAATGAGGGCTTGTCATGAAAGTACCAGAGAAGTCAGGCCGAGGTGGCACATGCCTATAATTCTAGAACTTGGGAGCCTGGGGCAAAGGAAAGCCAGTAAGAAGGAGAGAAAAGAGAAGAACAGCATATTTGTGAGTTGTTTTACAGTCCTCAAACTTTTAATTTTTGCATTAGAGAAGCAATTGTTTATTCTTGAAATTTGGGAATTCCTGATTGGTGACTTCAGACTTTTAGGATTCCATTAAGCATTAATGTCAGAATGTACTAGGGGAAAAAGAAATCAGACTTCAAGAATTCCAATCACTGTTACCCATCCATATTAAAGCTATCGAGAGACTATTACAGTAAAAGTGCACGCCAACCCCCGGGTCAGCGCTTCGGTTTTTAGAGCATCAACGGACTATAGAGTAATACCATTTAAAATTCTAAATCAGAACAGGGCCCCCCTGTTGCCCTTCACCTACTTCATCAAGCCTTTAGTGTATGGGTTTTGAAGAACAAGTTTCCCTTTTCTATTAGTAAGTGTGATAATCTAATGACCTCAATTAGAGAGGGGGAGTAAAAAAGGCTCACGCATCTAAAAATAGCTCCATTATCCACGCAGAGAGGGTCCCATTTCTGTTGTCTCCGCCCCCGGCTGATCCTAAGTAAGTGGCAATCGATCAGGGAAAATGTCTGGCTCTCGCTTCTCATAAATGAAGGGCTGTGGCTTTAAGTAATCGCTGGCTGCCTGTGCCAGAGGCAGAAGCTGCAGTGTCGGCCGCCTTGGTGGGGGAGAGACAGAGGAGTCTGAGGCAGTAACCTGCGGGACGGGAGGGGAGGCCACCCCGGGCCAATGGCGCTCCTCCGGGCTGAGCCCTGAAAGTGGGCCGACCCGACCGGTGGGAGGCGTGGCCACCTGTGCACTTCTTGGACAGTGCAGGGGGTGGGGGCGTTGGAGACCGAAGCTGGAAAATGGGCTGCCCGAGCAGCAAAATGTGCCTCTCTCCTCCATGTGCAGCAGCAAGGGTAATTAGTGTTTGTTTACAGTGCTTATTTTTCTGGAAGGGTGGCAGGGACTACCGCAGCCCCTGCCTGGAGCCAGGGGAGATGCTCTGAAGGAGAAGCAAGTCTAGCCCGCAGAGGCCAGTCTCCTGATCTCTGCAACACTGTGATCCTGATGCCGGGAGCCCCACAGCCCGAGGTGATCCCAGGAAAGGCATTTACCGAGGGCTTGGAAATTCTCTCACGTCCCCGTCCCTAGCTCTACCTTGGCACCAGGCAAATCTTCGCCTTGAGGAACTGTATCTAGTGATTGTGTTTGTGTAAGTATGTGTGGATGTGTGACTGCTACAAGCTTGCAGGTAACTTGAAAATTATTCTTTATCACAAGATCGATGTCTGATTTAAAAAAAAAAATACACCGAAACAGCCTCTTGATTTCCTTTACTTCACCTTGTCAAACCTACTTAAAATTATAGTTGCTTCATGATGTAATAATCCTTGGAAACTGGTATGTAGCTGGTAAAATCAATTTAATTTCATCTTTAAGAGATTAATCTTTTTTTTTTTTTGTTCTAGCTTCAAACAAACTTTTTTTTTCTTCTTTAGAATATAGGATTGGCCTTGTAACAAAAGTTTTTTTTTTTTTTTTTCTATTGCGGATATGGAACAAAGTCTGTATAAGTGACTATGTTTAGAACATTAAATATTTATCTTAAACTGATTAGGCCTTTATTGCCCTTGGAGAGGGAGAATGCATTACGTCTTGAGTACAGTTTGCATTAGCTGAAAGGGTCTATGGATCTACAGTGAGCACCAGGCTCAAAGCAAATATTTTTAAATAGCCATTCAGTTCCTCAAAGGAAAGTTTCCCCAGGACCTGGGAAAATACAGATTTTCAAAGAACAAAATTCCTTCACATCAGAGGGACATCTGTGTTTTGCTCTGTTCTTAACAACACAAACTGTTAGCTTAAGTGATTCTTATCTCGGTTTCTTGACTCTGGGTCCCATTTTCCTAGCAGCAATAAAATAAATGTGTGTACCTTAATGAAGAGGGAACTTCTTCAGAACATTAGTAACTTGATGTGTGTTTTCTGCAGCGAGAGGAAGCCCTGAAGCAACACAAAACCCTCTCTCAAGAGCTTGTCAACCTTCGGGGAGAGCTAGGTAAGCGCCTGTTTCCCTGCTCCTGCCCATCATCATAAAGTTTACTGAAATCGACAATGTGCCCTTCCCTCCTGTTCTGTGGCCAGACTTGCACGCTGGCCGCTGTTCTTTCTCTCTCCCTCTCATATCTGTGGAAACACTTAACTATCAACATTACTTTTGAATCTTGGCAGTGTGACCTCAGGCTCACAGAATTCCTGGCACTGGTCTGAGTAAGCTAACAGAGCTTTCTGATGTCCAAGGCATGCTTCGTACTGAGTAGACAGGGACAGAATGGTTTTTGTAATTGTATGGATTCCCATTGAATAGTTATATCATGTTTCTTTCTCTATTCTTTTTTTCTCTATTCTTTTTTTTTTTAGTGGGGGGGCACTTTTTATATTAAAGAGTGTTGAAAAAAGTTATTCTCTCTGATAAGAGTGATCGTTCTGCGTATCCCTGAGATGGTGTGTGTACAGTGAGTCTCCAGTTAAAAGAATACATGCTCAAACAGTCAGGATGAGCTGAGGAGGAATGCCTACAAGCCCATAGCACCCTCTGGGAAGTCCTTCTGTCTGCTATTTGAGTTCTTGGCTCTTCTGGAGAACCATAGATTGGAAGCACAAAGATAGTATGGTTGCCCTTTCTACCTCAGCTACCTGTAGCAGAGAAGTGACAGCTCACCCCTCCTTGCATTTGTGAGGACCCCTCAGCCTAAGAATGGCCCTCCTGATTTAGCTTCAACTAGATGTGGAGTTGTTCAGCCAAAGGTCACTTGCCGTGTCCTTGGCTTTGCTTGCTGATAGGCTGTGCTGAAAGAATGCATAGTGTAAGTTCTTCAGAGGGAACAGCTAAAGATATAGCAGATTGTGTTCATCTGGTTTCCAAAGAATCCTGTATTTCCCTGCGAACCAGACCATTGTTTAATTACTGCCAGTCGAATTTGCTAGCCTGGAGTATTTGTCAACAACTACACTGGCCCAACCAAGGCAAAGGTCAAGTGTTAGTGCATGTGGGGTCAAGATTTTGTCCTTCCTGTTCCTTGTACCTCCCAGTGGGAGTCAAGGCCAGTTTCTAGCTAACTCGTGAGATTTGCAACAGTAGACAATCCGTCCATGCTGGCTGGTGTCCCTATAGAAAGGAAGGGCCCTGTGGAAACAGATGAAGGAAGACAGAAGCCCAAAGAGGGAGAGCTCTGCAAACCAGGACAGAAGCCACAGCATGGGCAGGCCTGAGCCAGACACCCTGAGGGCCTTCCACTGTTTAATTCGATCTGGCTGCCTCCTCTTGGTTACCCAATGACCAGCTCTGTTTGTTTGTCTGTGCATTCAGTACTGTAACAGATATGGAGGTAGGAGATGAGGAAAGAGGGTATTTTGTGTGCATGTGTGTGTTTCAGAGTTCATCAGAACGCAGTGGAGATGGAGATGAGCCTGCCTAATGATTCAAGTTTCTAGTCTCTGAGAGAAGGCAGGACCAAGACAAGAAAGAGACACTGAGCTCATTGACTCTGCTTGAATGGCAACCCTCTTCACAATTAAGCAATTTAAACTGGAGCCCCGGTACACGGCACTTCCAGCTATCACACAGCCTGTCAGGAAACAGCCATCCTTTGTATGCTCACCTCTCTGTCTGAGATAAGGAGCATGTGGCCTGGTGTGCTTTTCCTGCCACTGTCAAAGTGTCAGGATGTTACGGGTGGCCTGTTCACATTGTTTTGTCACCCTAGGCTGGACTTGGGAAATGGTGTCATTTCTGCTAACTACTGAATCAGACAGACAGGCTTGCTCAAGTACCAGGGAAGGCGTTTGGGAAAAGGTTTTGTTTGGCCAGTGAGTAGAAAAGAATCCTTTAAGCAAGTGTATTGAAGCTGGCTGGGAAGAAAGTTCTTGAAGCTTTCAGCTGGATTTGTGTAGTGTGCCGTAATGGAAAAAGATAAATTTTACACATCAAAGCCTCAACCCCAGTTGAGGCTGTAAAAGGTGTAGGACTGTGGCATCTCAAGATCCAGGTTCAAATCCTTGGGTTGGGAGCTGGGTGGCCCAGACCCTATCTCATCACATCTCTTCTGCCCCAGTTCTATTCTGTCTAAAGTAACGGTATACACATGTGGCCCAAGGATGGCCATGAGGATCACATGAGGTCAAACATTGTAAAACACCTGTAATAGCCGGTGTTGACTGCTGTTAGCCTTACAGACATGGATGTAGGCAGTTGTAGGTCAATGTCATGGTGTGTGCCTGTAACCCAGTACTCAGGAGGCCAAGACAAGCGGTTGCTGTAAGTCTTAGGCCAGCATAGTGAGTGAAAAGTCAGCCTGAGCTATGTAGTGAGACCCTGTGTGAAACACACATAGTTGCGTGCGCAGGCACACTTACACGGGCACCTGTGTGCATCCCCCGTACATACAGATTCTGTTTTACAGCTGTGTAGTTACTGTCACAGTGCCTTCTCGTGAAAGCATAAACCCTTCCCTGGACAGGAATAGCAAGTAGATGAAAATACTACCAGAAATCCTCAGGACAGGCTGATCACACTCAAAAGCGAGTGAGACCCAGCCAGTCCTTTGCCGCTATTGGCATTAATGTTGAGTTAGTGGAATAGCTGTGTTGTGTTTTGTTTTATTTTGTTTTAAGTTTGATTGGTTTGTGTTTGTTTGTTTGTTTGTTTGTTTGTTTTTGAGACAGTTTTTGTCTTGGAACTCATGCTGTACACCGAGCTGGCCTCGAACTCAGAGAGCCTCCTGCCTCTTGCCTCCTGAGTGTTGGGATTAAAGGTGTACGCCTCCACTGCCTGGCTAGTGGTTTAGGTTTCTATTCATACACTCCTGGTTAGGAGTTACTTAACATTTTTGAGTACACAGAATTTTCCCTTTGGTGATACAAAGTCCGTGCATTTTGCTGGATTAGTTTGAATGGAGTAGTAAAACATATGAGGTGATGGCCTCATGCTTTACAGGCAACAAGAGAAGAGAGCTGCTGTCTCAAGTAGTCTGTGCCTTTGCCCTCCACCATTGACAGACTTTATGGATGCCTTCTCACTTAGTACTCAGATAGTCCCTTTCCAAGTTAAGTCTTTCCATCTGACATGCAGTCAGCATGTTTCTCCTGTCTGGCCCACATTCCTCCATGGAAAGCCTCCTGCTGGGGCAAACCTCTTCAAGGAACACCTCTGTCTATGCAGAACAAAAGCATGAGGCCAGTGACCTTCCTATCGTGCACTGACGTATCTAATGTACCTTGTGTTGTTCTGATGTCTTCAATCTCTGTGGTCCTTAATGAGGAGATCCTTTGCTACTTCCTCTGGGAGAAATAAAACAAAATGAGCCCTCCATTTGTATAGCTTATTGGCATCTGTTGGCATTTGAGAGTTTAAACTTTAAAGACCAGTGTGTAAGCAAGAAATACCCTATAGTCCTACTATCTTGGCATGCTTTTGCACAGGCGTTTGCCTTTGATATAGAACTTTGTACCGTCATTATAATATATGTTGTTCCATTACTTTTTTTTTGTTTGTTTGTTTGAGACAGGGTAACTCTGTGTATACGAGGCTGGCTCTGAACTCGGTCCTTGTGTCTCTGCCCGTCCCATCAGGTTTGTTTGTTTTTTTTTTTTTAATTATATTTATTTGTATGTGTATCCACATGTGTGTGCCACAGCGTATGTGTAGAGGTCGGAGGACATCTTGCAGAATTGGGCTCTCCCATTCTACCCTCTGAGTTCAATGATGGAACTCTAGTTCTTAGGTGTGGTGGCAATCCTGGGATCCCCTGAGCTGTCTACACAGTCCAGTCCATCGGCTTTAACAAACATCCATATCGTCTGCACTTGCACTAAACATTTCTGTAACCCGGGAGAACTCCCTTAAGCCTCCCCTCCCTTAGAAGCAAATACTGATCTGGATTTTATGACCGAGAATCGGTTTTGTCTCTTCTAGATTCTAGATTCGCCTAGATGGAACGTAGTGTGTGTTCCTTCAGCTACGGCTTTTTTTGACAGAGGGCCATGCTTCTGAGGTGTTTTCAGATTGTTTTAACAAGCGTAGTACTTTTCCACTCCAAAGCCTCCACTGAAGACATTCTTAATGATGGTGGAGCATCTATAGAGCAGTACAGCAATCAGACCATATGATTGTGACTCATGGGTGTATAATTTAAGCCCTTCCCTCCTGAGCTGCGGGTGTGGGCTTCCTTTGAGGCCCTGCCCCCAGGTGAGCCAGCCCAGTGGGATGACAAGTAGACGGCCCCTTGCTTCCTGAGTCCTACTGCATATCTTCTTATTCAGACCTGTTCTGCAAAATGTACCCCTCAGTGTCCCAGGAGGCATCAGTTGAGTCACTCAGTAACCAGGAAGGCCACTGACTCACTCTCCTTACACCACATCACTCTCTGTTATCTACAGCTGTAGGAGTGTGTCCCAAACCCTTCTCAGGCCCGTCCTTCCTCAGCAACCCTGGAGCCATAGCCGCGTTAAAGAACGATATCGCCGTGGCTGCCCATCACTGGGATACCTGGCTCTGGCCACAGTTGCCTTTTCCATGGGCACCAAAGGTTGCGCTTGTCACAAAAGCCTGACATGGTAGCATCCACTGCCTTTTTTTCCCTCCACTTTGCTTTTGTTATGTTTGTGTAGAGCCGGACTTTGTGTCTCGGCGCTCTTTCCCTCTTAATCACAACTGGCTTCCTGCAGGCCCCAGTTGTGGTCTAATTCATGTGTCTGTCTACCTCCTCTTGTTACCCTTCTGCTGAAGTGCCGCCTCCTCTTTGTGGTACCCTTCTCCTCTTGCCGTGCAGACTCTTGTCTTCAGCTGTGTTTCACCCAGATCTTTCAAACAAGTTGACGTTACCTCTTCCAACCTTCTGGTTACTTGGTGCACAATCAAGGCTTTGTGCTTAGAGCCACTTGTTTCTGTACCTCTTTCCACCGTCCAGAACTATGATGTCTCCACAGGCAAGCTCACTATCCCCTTTCAGGTGTGTAGGCCTGCAGCATGTAGGTGCACAGACAGCAGTGAAAGGGTGG